GGAAAAATACAGTAACTATAAAATATAACCGAACCAAAGGTGTAGAACCTCCTAATTACTTCTACATAGTGTTATCAATGTATCTGAATATTTTCAATGACAAACTGACAATAAAATATTGACATTTTAAAATGTGAAGTATGACAGAAAAATAGAGAAAACGGGAGAAAAAATTTGAAGCAATAATTATAGTAATTAAAATTATAAACAAGGGGCCGAGGATGACACACGCCTGCCTGGCAAGTGAGAAGTCCTTAGTTTGACTCCTGAGTCCCAGCCCTCCAAAAATTAGAAACAAATATTACAAAGTATTCAAAAATCAAATCTGGATAAAAGACATATGGGCCAGAAGACTAGAATCGGGATTATGCCACCACCACTGTAGATATACATATATATAGGAATTATGACAGAAATGGTATTTCATGAGAGTAGTAAGGAAGACTGAGTCATTAAATTATGAAGGGATATATTCTTACCACTATCAAACAATTTGTTAGGACCCTGGATCTGTCCCTAAAAAAAAATTCCAACAGATAAAACTGCTAAAAAAAGTATTTTTACAGTTATTGAAAAGGCCATCTTAAGCATATACAGAAAGCCCAGACTATACAAAAATATATTAAGGCATGAAATTAGAATCAAATAAAAACTGGTCAAAAGATACAGGGAACTGCAGGAGAAATAAAATGACTAATAAATATTCTTAAAATATAACCACTGAGTAAAAAAAAAAATTCAATCAGATGTGGAAAAATTAAAAAGATCACCATTATTCTTGTGGGTGAGTTTATGTAGGAAAAGATGCACTCACACTGCAAATTGAAAAAGGCAGAATAGTTCAGTGGTAGAGTGCCTGCTTAGCATGCACAGTGCTGGGTTTGATCCCCAATACCATTCACACAAAAGGCAGAAGCTTTTCGGAGTGCTTGATTATACTACCAACATTTAAACACACATTCCTTTGGCTCCGCTGTATTGCAGTTCACTGAGAATCCACCACATACTTGCAGGATTATGCAAACCTATAATCACCAGCATGTTGTTGCCTTATCTATAATGCATAAAATGTCATAATGAAGGTAAACACCATGGAGTCAACATGACACCAACAAAACAGCCTTATACACTATCAATAGTTTTTTTTTAAAATTAGGTAGATCTGAATATACTAACATAGGATGACAAAAAATAAACACTTATCTTCTCTGACATACTTTCCTATTCTGATTTCTAGAACTTGGAACTATTTCCACCTTGGTATCTTCTCTAGAAGCCAACAAATTATGACTTCCACTTTTCTACTGAAACCTATTCCAAAAACTAGAAAATAAATTGTCCACAGAATCTAGTAAAATAGATCAATTATTTTGAGATAAATAGGGATTTTATGAAACCATGTCTCCTTACACTGTGTTGTGGAAAAATACACAAAACTGAGCAAAAAACACATCATCTTACTGAATATGGAAGTATTTCTTTCTCTGTATTTCTCTTCAAAAATATCAAAATTAAGCAAGGTGTGGTGGCACATGCTTATAATCCCAGCATTTGGAAGGCTGAGGCAGGACTGCCATGAGTTCAAGGCCAGCCTGAGCTATACAGTGAGTTCAAGGTCTGGCTGAACTACCCAGCGAGACACTGCCCCCAACAAAAGCCAAAAATAATGGAAGTAAAATGTCACTTTAATTCCTTTATCCATGCATGTCTCCCAAGATAAATGAAGTGAAGCATAGTGATATACATCTTTTTTCGCAGGACTCTGGGACGATGAGGCAGAATTCCAAGTTTGAGCCCAGCCTGGACAACTTAGCAACTTAGTGAGCTCAAAATTTAAAAAGGATGTGAAGTGTGAAGGCCTTGGGTTCAACCCCCAATACCAAAAAGAAAGAGAAATTGAAATCAGTAATAGTTCCTGCAATAGTTTCAACTTTCTGAAGGCTGAATTCCTACAGCAATGCATGAAACAGATTTTACAAATGTAAGTGAATTTTAAGTTGTTTACTAACAGTCAAATTGCAAAAATAACTAGATTTCCAAAATAATTTCTGAAACTTTATATTCTTATTACAAATGCTTTAATAGTGGCTTCCTCAAGAATAAGTCAATGTCTACTTTAAATATATGTCCCATTTCCAAAATAGAAACAACTAATGCCCCTTCAATACCCACTGGCAGTTAACGTTCAAAGATGTGTGAGAACAAGTGAAACTGAAAATACCAATCTTCTTATCTCGGTCTCAACTCCAAAGTGATGTCTCTACTTAGTATAAGTATGTCTAAATATCTCAAATTATTTCTGTATCTTTGACAAAAGGGTTACTTAGTTCCAAATAATTTACAAGTTATGCTGAAAAACTTCCAAGTTTATAGGAAGTGATTTTTCTTTTGAAAAAAAGCTGAACGTAATTGAGGTGGTTTCTTTAGAACACAGAGGTAATCAAAATACACAGTAAATGCTTGAATTTTTTTATAAAGTTACAATATTGCAATTCTCCTCTAAATACTTCCCCTTTCTTCAAATACATTTATCACACTGTTCTTGCCACTTTCTGAAGCAGTTCTGAAGTCTTACTTTGTGAGCCTTTTAATTGCATTAGTGAGGCTGCCTTTATGTCCTCAACAGATTCAAGACATTTTCCTTTCATAGTCATTCTGACTTTGGAGAAGCACCAGATCTGATAAGGTAGACGGGAACACCACGGATGTTTTTTCACAAGTCGGCTTTTTCATTGGATGGCACTTGCCAGCTGCATTTTCCACATTTTTATCATCATATCTCATAAAGACACTTTTATAAAAGAGGACTTTCAGAACTGCTTCAGAAAGTGGCAAGAATAATGGCATGCGTTTGAGAAGGGGGGGGGTGTATTCTGAAGAGGGCGAATGGCAATGTGTCTCCTTCTGTAACGGTTTTCTTCTTTAAATTTAAAACATTCACCATAGTTTTCAGTCATACCTTTGTATGATAAAATTCAGTTGTGCTGAACAACTAAAGTCCCCAGAACACTACTTTGAGACAGTGATTACCTCCGAGAAGGAGGAGAAAGAATTAAAGAAACAGGGCTTCAGTTTGTGCTGTGGTTACTTTTCTTTAGGCAAAAACAGGAAATAAATGTCTTTTCTGAATTTGACTAAGTGCACTGACTCTGGAGGACAGAGTCCCTGGGTTCTAAACAATTCCCTAGCTCACTGTGAACTTGGGCAACCTAGGTTATCTCCTTATGCCTCAGTTCATGTCTACAAAATGTGCAATACATCTTGTTATAAGGATTAAATGAGTTGATTATGTGAAAAGCCTACATTAGTACACTTGATACACAATGTTATTGTTCTCATAAGCCCACCATCATCAATATTAACTCTGAAATCTGGCTAGACTGCATTGGGAAAGAGGAGGCTGCAAAAGGGTTGGGGGTATTTGATCTGTCTTCTACATTTACATTTCAAATGTAAATTGTTTCTGAAACCAGTGATAAATGATCAGAATCAAAAGTGAGAAAGCAGGATAAAGCAAAATGGTTAAGTTTCAGTCTTTTCTTCAATTTTCAAAAACATGAGACAATGCAGGCTTTTGAGTTTGATATTTATTTTTAACAGGAAAAATATGCTAATGGTGATGGCATCGTTAGAAGATACGCCCATGTCCAATATCTGCAACAGAAGCTCGATAGAAGTTAAAGAAACCATACCAAAAGACTAAAGACAAAAATTGTATTTAACATTACTTACCCTTAAATCTGCAGAAAACAAAACAAAAAACAAACTTAGGACTGAAGTTTCACCACAAGACCAAAAACTGAGAAGTTACCCATCAAATGTATCTTTTTAGAAAAATCTACCTTTTCCTTTCCATGTAGAAATGGGCAATGCTTTCAAGAATAGAGCATAGTGCCATTAACTGAATGTGCCTATGTGAGCAAAGGAGGAGCAAACTGAAAAGGGACCGTGCTAAATTAAGAGCTGAGAAACTGGAGTGGGAGGGATCATGTAGCTCTCACCCGGGTAATAATGACAAGCCAGGCAAAACATCATTTGGAGCATAATTACAGACTGTTGAGCCAAGAACTAAGTAATAATAAACAAAAGCACCTTAACAGACATATTACCATATCTACAAATTCATAGTGAGCTATCTGTAAATAAAGGGACTCAAGCGTATTAGAAATTGTCTATTAGAATAAGAAATTGGTATAGCAGTAAACAATTTAAACAAGAACTAGTCAATTGAAGCATTCTGTTAAAACCAAATCTAGCTCATCTACCCACTGATAATGGCTATTCTTCTCAAAGAAAATATGACACTGTTCCTTCTTATTATCTCCTGAACCCCTAGACTTACCAATAGTATCAATTACCGCTTTCTACCTACTAGTGTGTATGAGCTGGGAGCTGTAGGTAGGTGTGAATATGTTAAGTATCAGAATCAGGGATGGAACATAGGAGTAACCTGGGGTTTTCTGAGACAGGGGCTTGATATATTTCCCAGGCTGGTCTCTTAACTCATGGGCTCAAGCAATCCTTCTGCCTCAGCCTCCCAAACAGTTGAGACTATAAGCATGCATCATCATCTCTGGCTTGCAAGGAAATACTCTGAAGGGTTAAATTATATAGCTAAAACTTACATGTATTTAGAAAAGGAACTGATTAAATCTAATCATAAATTATTGCAGTTAACACCAGACTTCATACCAACTGCTATTTTCCCATTATTTTGTTTTGTTAGCAGATAAAAATTTAAACTGATAAATTACTACAATTTGCATGGAATTTCACACGAAAGCTTTTCAAACACAACCAATTCTGCTAATTCCAAATTTCAAAGTTTACTTAAGCAGGTTGATCTGGTTCAACTAGAAGAAAACACTAATACAAGCTTACCTGAGCCACAGCCTAAAAAGGTCTACAATCCAAAAAAATGCATAACATAGTTACATTCACATATGTTACAATTCCTACCAAAAAATAAATAAGCACTAAAGAAGGAAAAAGTTACGCACTTCCAATTTATGCTCTTTCTCTGCAAGGGCTTCCTTTTGACAACGAAGAAAATCTGCTAACATTCGAGTGAGTTGCTTCCTATCATCTATTTCTGCCGCCAATCTGCCATTATAATCTGCCAGCAACATACAAGCATCCTCTACCATTTTAGAAAGCCTTTCTCCAGACTCTTTATCTAAGAAAAACACAGAATAATAAAATTAATATACAATATAAACAGTGATATCCTCTTTCCACATCCCACCCAAGATCCAAGAGTTATGGATCTCATTTTCTTGACTCACCTGTTATTTTATCTAGTAGGGATACTTCTTGGACTTCAACAGGCAAAGAAGCTATCCTCTGATGAACTGCCGCATCACCTGAAGCTGCATTTTCTAGGTCTTGCAATGCTCTAACGAGATCTAGAGTCTAAAAAGTTATATAACTTTAACACCAAAATAAAGTTTAAACAAATATAAGACTTGAATTTTTTCATATTTATAATCCTTTTGAGTTACTTATTATCTCAGTTTCCAATATAAACTGCTGAAGACAATTCCCTTCTTTTACACATTAAGAACCTACACTATGTTAACCATTGAGGAGATCACACTCGAGTGGTAGAAACAGTATAACAATACTTACCTAGTTATTAAAGTGAGATAAGTGACTGATTTATATGGCAGATACACCAATGGTAAAAGGGAAAGTAGGCTACAACTTGAACCTAGAGAATGCAAGTTTTATGTATATTGTTATCTTACCATTGCACATCATATTATTTCAAGCATTTCTAAATTTTATTAAACTGAGTTTTGGGAAAGGGAGATATACATCATCTTCTAAAACATAAAAGAGTCTCTCACATTCTATTCCTAAATACTATAATGCACAACAGAAATGTAGTTTGGAAATATGTTCAAATAAAATGTATCTTCAACTATCTTATGGTTTTTTAACAAAACCATTAAATGTTGTGTATGTAATGACTGTTTATATACTGCCTACGGGCTGGGGGTATAGCTCAGGGGCACAAGCACCTGACTGGCAAGCGCAAGGTCCTGAGTTTGATTCCCAGTACCAAAAAAAGAAAATTATATACTGCCTAGCCAGTATACTAATTATCATTAGAATATTTTAGTTGTACTGTTTTCATACAACTACAATTGGGAGGAAAAACATATTTAATTTCACTATTTCCATACTAGCTATAATATAGAGAAAACATAGAATTCTTTGCTGGCAATTTTACAAGTTAAAATACAGGTTATTTTAAAACAAAGAAAAACAAGTATTTTCTTCTTTAGCCTCCATCCTCCATCCTTTTTTCTGTTTTTGTTTTCTAAGACTAGATTCAGGGACACTAGGAAATTATATACATACTTTAAAAATGTAAAATATTACTAATTCTGAGTATATATCAAGATGACATCTAGGTAGGAGTAGTGGTATGTGCTGATAGTCCTAGGTACTCAGAAGGCTGAGGCAGGAGGATCACTTGAATCCAGGAATTCAAGGTTAGCCTAAGCAACATTCTGAGACTCTTTAAAAAAAAAGAAGAACTCTGTGTGTGTGTGAATGCATGCATATATATATAAAATTATATACATATATATATATTTGTTCTAGGATATATTCTCTCTACAATGAAAGAGTACATTAGAGCAATGACACCAAGAAGCTATTTTTCATAGCCCCTCAACTAATTAATCATAAAAAAGTCTAAAAGTTTCTACATTTCTAAGAAGAAATCTGCCTTTATGATTTTTTATTTTTTGACACAAGGTCTCGCTGTGTAGTTCAGGGTGGCCTTGAACTCACTATATAGCTCAGGCTGGCCTTGAATTCACAATGATCCCCCTGCCTGGTCCTCCCGAGCGTTGGCATTACAGGCGTGCACTACCATGCTTGGTCTGGTTTTATGATCTTGACAATGCCTTTATGCTGAAACTACAAGATATGATAAAAAAAAAACGTGGTAAATGTTTCCTTTTGCAGGGGAGGGGAGACAGGGTCTTGCCATGTAGTCCAGGCTAGCCTCAAATTTGTAGCAATCCTGTCTCAGCCTCCCAAGTGTTGGGGTTATAGGCATATGCCACCACACCATACCTAAAAACAAATTTTAAAAACACAGTAACACAGACACACTATCAAGAGCAACAGCATAGCCGGGCATGGTGGTGCACACCTGTAATCCCAGCACTCCTGAGGCTGAGGTAGGAGGATCGTTGTGAGTTGAAGACCAGCCTGGGCTGCAAAGTGAGCTCAAAGCCAGCCTGAACTGCATAGCGAGAACCTGTATAAAAAAAAAAGAAAAAGAATAACAGCGTAAGTATGTGCAAAGGAAGGGGGTGTGTTCTGAGTATTTTGAGGGGAATTAATGGTAATGTTTTACGCTGTAATAAATTTAAAACATTTTTCCATATTCATTGTATTTTTTGATCACCCAACACTGTTTACAGCAATTTCTGTCAAAAACAATGGTGTGTGTCTTCAACCACCTTATTCACCAGGTCTGGAATTGTGAGTTCTGGCTCTTCCTCAAGGTCAAAATGACTATGAAAGATAAATGTTGTACTCAGGACAGCACAACAGCACAGCTGAAGACAAAAGAGGACTTCCAGAACTGCTTCAGAAAGTGGTATATATGAAGAAGATAGGACTGTTTTGAGGGAGATTAATGGCAATAGGTCTTTTAATGTAGTAACTTTTTTAAAGTTTAAGCAGTCACCAGATGTTGACTACCTCATACAAACTGGATTTCATCATATATTCACATCCCTTCCTACATGAGTTAGTTCTAAGTTCTCACTGCCAGATCAAGGAATATATAAGAAACCAAAGATATCTGAAACACTATCTAGGACTTCCTACTACAGGAGGGTTCAACTATATCCTGCAATTGCTATTCTAAGATGTTCTAATGACCACAAAACTGAACCACTGAGAATTAAAAAGCACAACTGATCTGAAATGATCATTATAAAGAACGAAGAACAGGGCCGGGGATCAAACTTAGTGGCATGCACCTGCCTGGCAAGCACGAAGTCCTGAGTTTGATTCCTGGTACCAAAAGAAATAAAAAAATAAAGAACGGTGCCAGATATGGTAGTGTATGCCTGTAATCCCAGCACTTGGAAGGCTAAGACAGGAGGACTGCCCCAAGTTTGAGGCCAGCCTGCACTACAAAGGGAGACCCTGTATCAAAAAAGAAAAGCAATACCACTTTATGAAAGTACTAGAAGAGTCAGATGGTTACTAAGAAATACTCAAGAAGTCCAAATGTGGTTACTCTTTCACCAGCGCAAATCAGAGATACTATATCTAAATCTCAGTCAAAACACTGTTCACAACATGATTTTCTGTCATGAGTTATAACCAAATAGGGAAAGACACACATGTTAATGTTAGGTAAAGACATACATGTTATTCCAAATATGTTCTTACTACTTTTCTACTTAAGTTCTAGTCCAGTGGGCTTTAGCATTCTCATTTCTGTCACTGGGCTAACTAGCTTGGCTCAAGTACTGGCTGACAGCCTTAGTTTAATTCTTCTGCCTTCCTAGTTCTAAGAGTAATATAAACCTACAAATGTAGGCAATAAATGATTTCTTTTCTTTCAAGATCCTTTCACCAGGGAAAAAACCCTTTCCAGCTTCCTATTATGTGCAACTTTGGGTCCAGTCCCCTGATTCTCATGGGACACTGTGATATCTCCTTATGTATAGGATATTTTTTTTTCTTTTTTTGAGAGGTGGGGGGTCTCACTATGTAATTCATCGGGCCTTGAATTCACTATGTAGCCCAGGCTGGCCTTGAACTCAGGGCAATCCTCATGTCTCAGCCTCCAGAGTGCTGGGATTACAGGCATGCACCACCACACCCAGCACAGGATGTTAATTTTAGGCAGCCCATGTCTGCTTCTAGACCAGAACTCAACAGGAAACAGGTTCTGGCCAACATATTATGTTGTGCTTCTGTACTATTCTGGCCCTTGAAGATATTTACCTTGTTTTAAGAGAATGGCTATGTCTTCATTTTCTCCTTTGAAATTTTATCTGTCCCTCCTATATGTTTCAAACATAAAAGAAGGAAACTTAAAAGACTCAATGCCCACTTAATTAAAAGTTCAAAATGTCTTTTATCTAATGATTAAGGAATACTAACACTATACCAACCTATAGGATTTACAGTTTTAAGGTAACGATTCTAATTTATCTCATTCTTGCACAGAACTACATAGTATTATACAGAACTGTATGAATATGCACTTGTCACTCAATATTCATTTTTTACATGTTTGCAAGCAAAATTACTTGACAGTACTGTTCGTAACTAAGAATATTTTAGTGCACTTACATCATACAGCAATGTATGTTAAAAGAAATAAATGGTAGCTAAGGTATCATATATAATACTTAGCAATCAGAGAAATCCTTTCTGAGTGCCTGCCTGGCAAGCACGAGGTCGTGAGTTCGATACCTGAGACCAGAAAAAAAAGAAATCCTTTCTACGCAAAAGTATTTCTATGCAAAACATGCAATATACAACACAGTATATCAATGTAAGTAAACTATTAACCATAAAATAAGACATACTCCTGCAGCTTCTTTCTTGTACCCAGAAACAGCAAAATTAATAAAAGCTCAGTGGTTACACAAAGTGAAACAACTCACTTATTAGAGAAAATCTTTTACCTGTGGTGGTTCACTTGGAGATCCCAGAGAGGAACAATTTTCATTTTCATCCACCTTTATTTGTTCATAAGTTCGCTTTCTAGCCTTTTTATCACCATCTGAATTGAAAGAACATTTAAGTCTTAAAACACTTTAATGAAGAGATCACAGTAAGAGATAAAGGTTATACACTTACACAGAGCTTGCTTAAGTTGGTCTAATACATCATTTTCATAAACAGATCTTTCTTCCCAAATAGACAACACTCTTCCAAGGTGCTTCTTACAACTTTCATCAGTTTCACTAAAGCAAAAAAGAAAAACGTGGTATTGAAAAGGTAGTGGTGACTGTAAATACAGCTGTTCTTTCATTCCCTGGAAAAACCAATCCAGATATTTACTAAGCATTACTGTGTGGCCAGCAGTTCAGGGATGATGTGATCAGGATCATGTGATCATACCACTAGTTTTCCTTAAAAAGCTTATAAACATGTTGAACAAAATTACAAAAAAAGGGTAAGTTTTAGAATCTAGGGGTTTTAAAAAAATGTTCCTAACCTAATGGAGGCTGAACATGAGGCTAAGATTTCTAACAAATGACTTTAATTTACTCAACAAATGTTCACTGAACAAGGTACTATCTCTAACAGTGATGAAGTGGAGCTTTGTAGCAGCTGTTACTTATAAATGTTTCAGAAGAGAACAAGGTGCCAAAGAGAAAAGAGAGCTCTATCCCAGTTTAAGAGGGATCAGGGAAAGTATTTGAGAAAGTGATATCCAATTAGACATCTGAAGATTAGATATACAGGAAAATGGGAAACAGATTATTTCTAACCATTTCTTACCTTGTTATTGCTACTGTAAATTATATCATTAGAATTTCTTGCCTGGATTTTTGCAATATTCTTACCAATCTCCCAGTTGATGCTCTTCCACTCAACAAAACAGCAATCTCTATCAGATCCTATCATTCTCAATCCTCAAAGAGATATCAAATATATCAAAAATGAAACCAAACTCCTTGCCTTGGACTACAAGGCATACATGCTGCTTCCTGGCAGCCTCTCAGTCCAGCCTCCCTAATGCTTTCTCCCACATAAATCTTCTTGCCTCACTCATAGCTGCCTCACTGTTTCTATCAAGTATTCTCTTTGCCTACAATCCTTTCCTTCTAGGGAGTCAAATGGCATTATTTCATCCCTTCCCTTGGTCTCTGTTTAAATGTCACCTCCCCAAAAGAGCGGTTGTTTAATGTATCATGTAACTCAGCATCCTCATACCTTCTAATTCTTTCCCCACTCTGTTTCTTTAGAATATGTCATGTGCCAATATAATATATAATTGTCTGTCTAAGCTGGATGTGGTAATGCACACCTGTAATCCCAGCACTCGGGAGGCTGAGGCAGGAGGATCGCCTTGAGTTTGAGGCCAGCCTAGGCTAAAGTAAGTTCAAGGCCAGCCTGAACTTCAGAGCAAAACCCTGTCTCAAAAAGACAAATAATAATAATAACAACAATAGTAATAATTGCCTGTCTAGCTATTATCTTTCTTTTTTTCTTGGTCTTTTTGAGACAGGGTCTCGCTATGCAGGTCAGGCTGGCCTTGAGCTCACTTTGTAGCCCAGGCTGATCTCGAACTCCCAACAAACTTCCTGCCTCAGCTTCCCAAGTGGGTTTACAGGCATGAGCCACCATGCCTGGCTTTAGCTATTATCTTTACATCCTCTGAAACATAAGCTACAACAGAAGAGAACTTTATCTTGCTCGCCATAATATCCTCAGGCACACAGTAGGTGGTTAGTAAACACTTTATTGAATTCTAGAAGAATATATAAAAACAACATATAGAAAAGTAGAAACAATAAGAAAAGGTTCTGTCAGCATAGGCTATAGACTACAGACTGTGTGCAGAAGCAATGTGAGACCACAGTCTAGACAGGCAGTGCCATGAGGAGCCATTAAGTCTTGCTCAAGACTTCACAAAACCAAAGGAGTGTTATGACTGGCTCTGTTCTAAATAAAGCTTCCCAAAAGGATTAAACAATACAGACCATGGTAATTATATGGAAGGATGTTTCACTAACTGAAAGGGAAAGAAAACCACCCAGGGAATGCGTGTTATGTGGAACACAGAAAATGAACGAAGTGAGAGATGAAGAGGACACCTAATTTCTTGCATCCGAGTCTATGTGGAGCTGCCACTCATTGACAGAGAAGCAGCATGTTTGGTCAAAAGCATAGATATAATAAGTTCATTATCAGACAGAATGAGATATTTAAGATGCATACAAGTAGAGGTCACTGTACATACAGGTCTGTGGTTGTTATGGTTGATACACTGTGTGAACTTGGGGAGTCTAGAGTTTTGGCTAATTGACTCGGCAGGAAGCCAGGGTGCTTACTTTGTATACATTCTGAGCCTGTGGAAGAGGAAGGCATGGAGATTATGTGAGAGCTACATGCCCCTTAGGTGGGGGTAGCCTGTTTACAATGTAAGGCAGGGAAAGAGGCTGCTTGCTGCCATTCTTCCCTTTTGCTCTGGCTGCTTTGCTGTTCAGCTGCCATTCCTTTCTTTGCTATTGCTACTTTTGCTATCTTCTGCCTCGGTGCCAGCCAAGTATGGACTGAAACCTCCACAAACTGTAAGCTAAATAAACCTTTCCTTCTTTCACTTTGGGCATTGGGTATTCTGTCTCAGCACGAGAGAAAAGTAACCAAGACAGAATTTGGTACCAGGAGTGGGGTTGTTGCTGTGACTATAGTTGACCATGTGGTTCAAGAATCTTTGGAAATGGCTTGTGGGAAGTGTTCGGAAAGGTTCAGAGATGTCGCCTGAAAGAGAAGCACTAGAACACCTTTGGCTGTTCTGTCTGGGAGATTCTGGTCAGAACTCCAAAGACCAGAAGGCTGATAGAAATCCTGCAGGTAAAGACCAGGTTCAGGAGGTTTCTGCTGGGAAGAAGGACTTCACTGGCTGTTGGACTCCAGATGAAGTGTGTTATGGCTTGGCAGAAAGTTTGTCTCCATTTTGCTCATGTCCACAGACTTTGCCTAAGACTGAGATTAAGGGCGGCAGCGGACTGGTTAATCTGGCAAAAGAAATTTCAAGGCAGTCAGACATTGGGAAAGTGGCATAGCTACTGTTGGGGGCTTTTTGCCAGATTTGTATTGAGACTCAAGAGCAAAGAGCCCAGCAGGATGATTTAAAATGTGAGTTTGGCCAGAAAGGAAGCTCCAGTAAAGCTGTGAACTGCAAAGGTGAAGCTGAGGAGATCTCCATTGCTGAGAAGGAACAAGAAAATAAAAAAGATGGCCTGAGGGCATCACAAGAAGCAGCAAGTCTCCACCCTTTGTAGCCTCAAAACTGCAAAGGTGACAGACCTTGCCTTGAGAAGGAAGCCTCAGAGTATCATGTTCCAGAATGGCCGCAGCGGCTACAACAGGTTCCAGAATGGCAGCAGCACAGAAAATTTGTTCCTCAGAATTGGATTCAGAGTGCCCAGCCATCCAGGCACTTGACCCCTATGGCCAAGAGAGGAAAACTTGGCTACTGCTCCAGGCGGCAGCAGACCTTGGCATTATCCACGTGGCCCTGACTTTAGGTGCATGGAGAATGCAAGAGTTCTGAGGGTCAAGAGGCTTCACCCAGATTTCAGAAGGCCTTGGAGGCCAGGCAGTGTTCCCCTGAGGGGGTAGTGCATCAAGCTGTGAGTGTGAAGCAAAAGGGACACTGGAGACCTCAGAAAAGCCAGGACCGTGCATCATCTGAGGAAAGCTGCAAGGAGCGAGCAAAGCAGGCCTAAGAGAGAAGCCATGGAAGCTGTAACCACTGGAAGTGCCATAGGAGTGGACTCATGCAAACCCTTTGGAGCTCACAATGTGCCACAACTTGCTTCAGATGCTGCATGTGGAATTACAGGACATAATGTTAGCCCTGCTGGATTTTGGACTTGCTTTGGTCCCAGTGCTCTGTATCCCCATTTGTACCTTTTGGAATGGTACTGCTTATTTTGTGCCATTAAATGTTAAAAGTGTTTAACTTTTCATTTGTACAGGGAGTCATAGCTAAGAGTTTGCCTTCATCTTAGAGGAGACTTGGGACTTGACTCTTCAGTAGTGCTGAAACTGTTAGGACTTTGGCAACTCTTGCCGATGGACTAAATGCCTTTTGCATAAGGGGATGTGCATGAGTCTTTAGGGGGTGAAACGTTATGGTTCTAATGGAATATGTCTTGTACCTGGAAGCTGGTTTAAAGAAATGTATCTGGTTGCCAAGTTGACAAGGGGTGGAGTGTTATGGTTGATACATTGTGTCAATTTGGGGAGTCTAAAGGTTTGGCTAATTGACTCAGCAGGAAGTCAGGGTACTTATTTTGTATACATCCTGAGCCTGTGGAAGAGGAGGGCATGGAGATTATGTGAGAGCTACATGCCCCTTAGGTGGGGGTAGCCTGTCTACAATGTAAGGGAGGGAAAAAGGCTGCTTGCCGCCATTCCTCCCTTTTGCTCTGGCTGCTTTGCTGTTATGCTGCCATTCTTCCCTTTTCTATTGCTACTTTTGCTATCTTCTGCCTCAGAGCCAGCGAAGTATGGACTGAAACCTCCACAAACTATAAGCTAAATAAACCTTTCCTTCCTTCATTTTGGGCGCTGGGTATTTTGTCTCAGCACAAGAGAAAAGTAACCAAGATGGTAGTTAAGGGGAAAAAATCTGGATAAAGAGTAAAATTTTAAGTCATCAGAGTATGCACAATAACTAAATATATACAGTGTACAAAATCACCAAGTTGGCAAGTAAAGAATATGGTCCCCAAAGAATGCATAGGACTTAACTCTAAGACACTGATATTTAAAGAGATGAGAGAAGGTAATATCTAGATTGAAGGATAAATAATAGAAAGCAAAATGCAACAGTATTTGACGCTTTTTTTTTTTCAAATGTGATTAAAACTACAGGGTATGTGGTCAGTAAATCTTCATCCTTCTGTAAATCATCAGAGACTACCATTTACCACTGAAATCGGTAATTGAGACTGATTTAATACTTCACTCCAATGCTTGCCTAGTAATTTATCACATACCTGTAACATATGTTCAGAAATAAGTACTTAAAGGGGCAACAAGCTAAAGTATAAATTTTCACCCTTTGAATTATCTGTAGTAAAATTTTCCAACAAGCTTATAATTACCTAAATATTCTTTATTTCCATAGCATTTAAAAATGTTAAGACATATAACCTAAAACCAAAAACCTTTAAAATTGTAAGGTTTTTATAAGGATACATAAAAGGTTTTCTCATATAAAGATATGAGGAAAAGAGTACAACAGTAAGAAACATTAGTAAGATTCTCATTTTTATACAATTTGCACACAAATTTTCAATGCAATACCTTTATTCATTCTCAAGGAAGTCCATTCCAATACAGCAGTTACAGGTCTTTTAAGAAAAGCTATAATTCAAGTACTCCAAATGAAAAATCTTAGCAAATCTCCTTCTCAGAAGGCACTTAGCATATTTACTTACAAAGTCCAGTTAGAGATAAGTTTTCTCAAATGAAAGTTTCAAAAAACACACCTTGTTCTTATTGTGATGCTTTAAAATAAATTTTAGTAAAAGGAAATATAGCACATTGGAAACAGGTTACCTACGATACCAAACAATTATCATACCTTGAAACATGCTTAAAAGCCTCCACTATAACTGGTGCAAAATCTTTTGTAAACTCCGGCCCCTTCCTTTTGCTGTTTTGAATGACATCATTGGCTAGGTAGAGAAAAGTAAGTTTTCTGTTGGGTTTGGCTGAAAAATAAAAAATAAATTTTTATTTTATTTTATTTTATTTATTTTGGTACCAGGAATTGAACTCAGGGCCTCTTGCTTGAGAGGCACATGCTGCATCACTGAGCTACATCCCCAGCCCAAAAATAAATTTTTAAAAATTACTTCAAATATCCTCATTTGACTCAGACAAACTTTTTTAATACCTGAATTAAGCACTTTGAGAACTACATGAACCCACAAACCTTTGTGTCTTGTTCGCACCCAGCTTCTCAATCTACTACCAAACTTACCAAATCTCTGTTGCTAATCTCACCAGGGTGACTCTCTAACTTCTAGAGATGAAATATGTGAGGGGGAAAAGAGAGAGAGGATCCTAGGAGGCAGAAGTAGGTACATTATAGCTCTTTCCATCTCTTTGCAATAGTGCCCCAACTAGTATGTTTGATTCCTGGCCTTATCACCACTCCCAAACCAAATGGCTTTTACACATTGAAATTCTCATGTATGTAGAAAAGTGTTTCTCTGTGAATTTATCTTATATTAATTTTTATTTAAGCCATTATAAACTATAAGAAATACAGTCATTTGAAATTAGTGATTAGTCATATTAAGATAGCAGCTAGGCCTGGTGTAGTGGCACATGCCTGTAATCCCAGCACTCAGGAGGCTACGGCAGGAGGACTGATGTGAGTTTGAGGACAGCCTGGGTTACAGAGTTACACTGGGTTACAGTGAGTTCAGGGCCAGTCTGAACTATACAGTTTGACCTTGTCTTTAAAAAAAAAAAAAAAGGGCTCTCAAAACTCCTAAATTAAATTTAGGACTGCTAAACCTGGAGTGGTGGGCATGCCTGTGATCCCAGCACTCAGGAGGCTGAGGCAGGAAGATTGATTGCCATGAGTTCAATGCCAGCCTGGGCTACATAGTAAGTTCAAGCCCAGTCTGCACTACCAAGCAAAACCCTATCTCAAAACATGAAATTTAATACATACTCATATTCACTCAAAATCTTTACTAAGTTACTGTGAATTGAAACAACAGAATATAGATTGGGTACAGGATTCAAATACCAACCTATTATTTTCATTTTTTTCCTTGTGGTATCAAGGCTAAAAGATGAGAAATTGCTGGTGTGGTGGTGCACACCTGTAATCGCTGCACTTGGGAGGCTGAGGCGGGGGATCGTTGCGAGTTAGAGGCCAGCCTGCGCTACAAAGTGAGCTCAAGGCCAGCCTGAACTGCATAGCAAAACCCTATCTCAAACAGACAAAAAAAAAAAAAAAAAAAGAGAGAGAAATTTCTACCATTTATGCTGAGTCAAATTTTCAAGGAAAAAAATCTTAATACTTTCATTTTATACTTATGTGAATATCTACACAGAGCAAACAATTAATGGAAATAGCACAAGCAAAGCCAGAAAACAAAAAAATCACAAAAGTGATGTCTTACATAAATTCCAATTAATTGTTAAAATAAAAGCCACAAACTATTGTTAAAGTTAAGGCACAAAGTTGGGCCAGGAATATAGCTCAGCAGCACAGCACCTGCCTTGCAAGCACAAGGTCCAGAGTTCAATTCCTGATTCAAAAAAAAGTTAAGGCACAAAGCTAACAAAACAGTACTGCAACTGTTTTATAATTCCTTAAAGAAATACTGTTGGTGAAAGAAACTGATTCTAAACAATGGATCTGACCCAATAACTCCAGTGTTTCTGTTGTTCACAAGGTTCTTTCCCCAAGACACCCATATTTCCAAGCTTCCCATTCAATTTAAATAACATTAAAGTTTGCTATGTGCCAAGGACCAAAATAACCACTTCTGTTCAAGAAGTATGCAAGTGCCATATAAATTGACAGATAGGTCCCATCACTAAAGTTCAATTTCTCTTTTTTCCTTTATTTCTTCTCTCTACAAATATATCACACCAACATGAAAGCAATATACCCCACTGTACATGTGTAGGTGCTGCTACATTTGTATCAGTAAAGTATAAACCAAATATGTACATTTGAACCACCATTTTCTTATATGCCACCTCCATGAACAAAATCTTACACTCTTCTAGGCAATAAGTACCTGGGGCCGAAAACAGGTACATACCTATAAAATCTGTCTGGCTAATAGATATAAACATAGTACCAAAAAACTGAGCATATCACCCCCACGCTGAAAGGCACGGTAATACAAGTTCAGTTCACCATACAAGTAAGTGTTATATAATACTGCACAAATACAGCCATATGTGGTGATGCACACCTGTGACGCCAGCACTCAGGAGACTGATGCAGAAGGCTTACTGTGAGTTTAAGGCCGACCTGGACTACATAGCAAGACCCTGTCTAAAAAAAAATTTTTTTATTCACAAATGTTAAAAATAAAGATCAGTTACCAAGTTTCAAAATGAAATCAGTCAGGGCTATTAGATAAACAATATGAAACAAACTTGGCCAGTGAAAGAATTAAAGAAATGTCACTTAACTTCACTAACTCATAATTGGTGTATGATCTGTTTATACTCAGAAAGTGGCAGGCACATTACCAATTTTCTTATACTGTACAGACCTACTCATTTTGATATGATGCAGAATATCATAGTCTAAGTTAATTACCCATGCTTTTATGAAGATTACAATGCTGATAAATACTGCAAATACCTAAAACCTTACTGTGTTATCTATAAACATAAAAACCATCTTTCCAAGGTAAGCCTACACAAAGAAGCAGCAAAAAAACTGAATAAATGCCAGGCATGGTGGCATACGCCTGTATTCCCAGCACTCGGTTCACTGCAAGTTTAGGGCCAGTCTGGGCTACATAGTGAGCTCAAGGCCTTCAAGGGAGACCCTGAACTACACAGTGAGACAGTGTGGAAGGACAGAAGGCAGGCAGACAGGCAGGCAGGCAGATGGGCAGGGGAAGAGGGAGGGGGAGGGGAGGGGGAGGGAAGAGGAGGGGGAAGGGGGAAGGGAGAAAGGAAAAGAATAAGCAAATATATATACACATAAACACATCCATGGAAGAAAGGAGTACTACTGTAGTTTGGGGGTATTTTTGTTATTGCAGGGCTATTTCACAGAAGGGGTCTAATGGAAAAAGCAGATACTGGGTCAGAGGAGAAAAGTATCTGGAACTCTGTATCTGTGTAGTGCTGACCTCATATTCCACCTATTGTTCTTGTCATGAAAGTGCATTTATCCATGGTTTCCCCCATTTCAATGCTTGGTTAAAGAAAAATACCCATATATGTGGAGGTAAAGGAACATCCTTAGCCTTCTAAAAAGTCCAAGGAAATAGAAGTTCCTGTAACATTTATAAATGAAACAATTTGCAAAACTTTGATTTTGGGACATACACCAAATGAATTCTAAAAATAAAAATATAAAAACAACAAACCAACAACTTCATCCTAGGGCTGGGGCTGTAGCTCAGTGGGAGAGTGCTTGCCTAGCATGCACAAGGCCCTGAGTTTAATCCTCAGTACAACAAAAAGAACAAACAACAAGAAAACTTCATCCAGGACCAGTAGACTACTACAAAATACACAGTAAACTGGAAGAGTTTTGGAAGAATATGCCCATTTATTTACATTATATTCCTAGAATGGCTAAAACTAAAACTTTGCTTTCTGAAAAATAATACTGGGAACTCAGGGCACAGCTCAGTAGAACATTTGTGTGGCATGCATGAAGTCCTAATCATATTCTCCAGCACTTAAAAAAAAAAAAATCAACTAAATACAATGACGTAACATTAAAAAATAATCACTGACTAGTTTGGAAGATCTGGGTAATGTTCTAAGATGTCTTTATCTCACTAAATCTTCAAATTATCAATGTAACAAAAAATGCAATGATATCAATCAGTACTCTTAAGACCCACACTGCGATCCCCTAATAACATTTTACCAATAAATGCAGCAAATATATAATATCCACTTAGGACATCTTGTCATACTAAAAAGCAGGAATATCACTTAAAAATTACTGAGCTATATCCAAAAGTCAATGGATATCTGTTTGTTAACATGTTTTCCTTCATTTCTTAAAATAAAAAAAGAATTAAAAAAAAAAGTCATACACACTCCTCCAAAAGCTACTGCAGGTGAAAGAACGTCAAAAAGAATAATGACTGAGGTAAAAGGTTTATGAGCTGGAGGTCAGCCTAAGCTACATAAAAATAAAAAACAAGAAACACAGAAAACAGGAAGGAGAAAGGGAAGGAAGGAAAGAAAGAAGGAAAAAGAATAGGTAAAGGAGGGTATATACAGGGAAGATGAGGGGCTGGCCCTATGGATCTAGATCAGTGATGAAGCACTAGCCTAGCATGTCAGAGACCTGGTTTTAATTCCCAGCACTACATCTTCCCCTCAGCACTACATCTAAAAAGACTGGAAAAACCTAAGGGAAAAACTTTAACTATTTATCCTGCTTTTCCTATATAATTTAAGAGTACAGAACAGGCACTCAAAATTCAGTATGTCTCAGAATAACCTACACTAGAGGGTTTACAAAAACACAGGTTGCTGGTCCCTACTGCGAAGTTTCTGTATGGGACAGAACCCAAGAATCTGCATTTCCAACAAGTTCTCAGGTAATACTGATGCTGTAGTCTGGGGACCACACTCTTAAGAACTACTGTTACAAAAGAATTCTACATAGTAAGTGCAGAAAAAATGAAAAGAAAAAAAAAATACATTCACGATTTTTCAACCCCTGATAAAATAGGCTAAGCAACTATTACCAGTGGCTTCTAAAATCACTGAAAGAAAGGTGGTAGGAACTTCATAGTGGATGATTCACAATAGTGACTGGGCAATCTTACCTTTAAATATAAAACAACACAACACCATCTCCCAATGTGATGTACAACATGACCAACGAAGTATTACTTGAAAATAGTATCATAAAGATGGAACCAGATAAATGTGTAATCAGAAAACTTTTATAGCCCATGTGATACAATCTCAACAAATAAACTGTACAGAAAATAGGAGTGTAGTGTACTTCAGAGATGTGTTA